TTCCCTATATAGTCTACTTGCCTAAGCAATGCATTACTGTTGACACTGCTATTTGTACTATCCTGGGGGAGAGTGAAATATATGCATTCTACATACTACCTGAAATACAGGTATGTCCTGAGTTGTAAGTAGGTTCTCAGACCTAACTGAATTTGTATCCCAAAGAAGAGGGCCTCTCCTCTACACACTCCAGTAGGCAACACTGTAAGGCTACGTCTACACTGGCCCCTTTTCCGGAAGGGGCATGTAAATTTCACTAGTCGTCGTAGGGAAATCCGCGGGGGATTTAAATATCCCCCGCGGCATTTAAATAAAAATGTCCGCCGCTTTTTTCCGGCTTTTTTGAAGTAGGAATAAGAGCCTCCGGAAAAGCCCCGATCCTCCGGAAAAAGTGCCCTTTTCCGGAGGCTCTTATTCCTACTTCATATTTGGTATATGTGGTCATGCCAATTCTCTTCCAGAATATGATCTGAGGAAGTGGGTCTGGCCCACGAAAGCTCATCACCTATTAAACCATCCTGTTAGTCTTTAAAGTGCTACATAGTTTTTCCTTTTCTTTTTTAAAAGCCGGAAAAAAGCGGCGGACATTTTTATTTAAATGCCGCGGGGGATATTTAAATCCCCCGCGGATTTCCCTACGACGACTAGTGAAATTTACATGCCCCTTCCGGAAAAGGGGCCAGTGTAGACGTACTCAACCCAGGCAGCTCAAGCTGGGCTCTGGCTTTTTTGGCCAGCACCTCTGCTGTGTAACAATGTGACTGGGTTCTAATCCCACCCCCCTCCCTCCCGGCAGGGGGAGCTGCACGGGACCGGGCGCACAGCAGTGAGGGCCAACGTCACTGCGAGGCAAGGTCACACGACAGGTCGTCGTTAGCGAGCCCAAGCATCCGCAGCCCTACGCACAACCCACACTCTGCGGCTGCGCGAGAAGCCTGGAACGCTCAGTTCTCTGCGCCTGCGCACAATTCAAAAAGCGCTTTTTCTCACATCACCCTTTCTTGAAATTCGCCGCGGGAAGCGCGGGAAGCTCAGCGCGCGTGCGCAGACTCAAAGGTTACAACTCGCGGGCGGCAGCGCCAGGCACATGCGCGCAAGCGATCATGTGCCACTGCGGATCGCCCGGGGGCGGTAAAAGAGGTTAGATACGCATTGACGTAATCTAACCTCTCCACGTTCGGCCGTGCCGTTTCTCCGTGTCCGCTCCCAGAAGTGTCCGACCGGAAAATGGGAATGCTGGAGCAAGGTTCCGACAGAGGTTTAGTTCCGGGGGCATCACTGTGCGCGGGAACCGCCGTGGCCGCCACCTCTCGGTGCCGCAATGATCCCGATCCCGGTGGTGGTGGGCGTGCTGGGCGGCTGGTGCGTCATTTACCTGGCGGACACGCTGCTGAAGGTGAGGACGCCCCGGCCGCGGGGACAGAACCGGCCCGGGGCCCCCCGGCTGCAGCGGGAGGGAGGGGGCCGTGCGGCCGGCGGGCGGGACCGCCC